GTTTACACATCCTTCGTTATAGAGATCACAAGTTTTTATGACATGATTTCTCAGATTTAATTATTATTCAATAAATAAAAGATGTACATAGTAATAAATGGATGGCAAACATGAACAAAAAGTTTGCAAGTATATTTTTAAAAGTTCAGTGATGTGTAAATTAAATTAAGATGACACCACCTTTCAATGACCAGTTTAGCAAACATTAAATAACACTCCTATCCCCAAACTTGCAATATGGAAAAATTTATGCTGTAAAGAAAGTAATACCATTTTTTGGTGGGGGCAGTTTTGCATTGATCATCCAAAGTTTTAAAAATATGTTGACACTTTGGGGTGTCTGGGTGGCTCAGTCGGTTGGGCCTCCATTCTTGGTTTCGGCTCAGGTCATATCTCGGGCTCATGGGATCAAGCCCCAAGTCCAGCTCTGCACTTAGCGCAGAGTCCGCTTGGGATCCTCTCCTCTCCCTTTCCCTCTTCCTCCTCACATATGCATGTACACGCATGCTCTCTCTAAAATAAATACATAAAATCTTAAAAAAAAAATATGTTGACACTGTTTTTTTTAATATGTTGACACTTTGACCTAGCAATTCCACCTATAGAAACTTTTCTCAATAAAGTAAGAGAAGGGGCGCCTGGGTGGCTCAGTTGGTTGAGCGACTGCCTTCGGCTCAGGTCATGATCCTGGAGTCCCAGGATCGAGTCCCACATCGGGCTCCCTGCTCGGCAGGGAGTCTGCGTCTCCCTCTGACCCTCTCCCCTCTTTTCATGAAATACCATTTTTACTTGAAAGAATAACAAAAAAAAAAAGTAAGAGAAGTACGCCACCTTGCAGAGATATTTGTGAAAAACCTCTTTACAATTGCAAAGACTAGAAACAACTTCAAATAACAAACTATTAAATGATTACATAAACATAGAAAAGATAATTATATTTGACAAGAGCTAATAATGATGAAATGTCAAATGTTGTCCTACCTTCACTCCATGTCAAAAACAAGGCAAGGCTTTATACTTTTACCATTTCTATTCAACACTGTATTAGAAAAAGAAATAAACAGGGATCTGTGAGGCCAAACTATTTCTATGACAATACTAAGATTATTTGCATTTTTCACTGTGTTGGCATTTACAATAATGGTGCAAAAGCAGTGATGGGTAAAACTGCTGGCAGTAGAACCGAATCTTATTTCTTTACTATCACACACTTGCAGAAAAGAAAAAGTGTCACCTGCACTTATGGTTGTTATATCAACACCAACAGGTGAATACAATTCTGACACTAACCTGGAATTAGGATCAGACCCCACAGGTTTAAAAGGCATAATCCCCAACAAGACTGCCAGTCACTTCAGATGCCACCCATACTTCTGGCCAACTAGCTATAAATCTGGGAGGTTCCTAAGGCCCCCTTCAGGGTTAATAATTTCCTAGAATGATTCACAGAACTTAGGAGAGCTCTATATTTACAACCATAGTTTTAATATTAAGGATTCAAATCTGGACCAACCAAATGAAGAGACAAAGAAGGGTAAGGTCTAAAAGGCCCCAAATGCAGAGCTTCTGTGCCTACTTTTTATGGAATCAGGTAGCAATACCTACCTGGCATATTGATGAGTACACCAACCAGGAGGCTGCATTGAGCTTTGGTGTCTATAGATTTTTTTTTTTTTTTTTAAAGATATTTATTTATTTATTTGACAGAGAGAGAGACAGGGAGAGAGAGAACACAAGCAGGGGGAGTGGGAGAGGGAGAAGCAGGCTTCCCACTGAGCAGGGAGCCCGATGCAGGGCTTGATCCCAGGACCCTGGGATTGTGACCTGAGCCGAAGGCAGATGCTTAACGCCTGAGCCACCCAGGTGCCCCGTGGTGTCTATAGAGTTTTTATTGGCGCCCCACTGCATGTGACTGAACTCAATCTCCAGCCTCCCTCTCCTCCCTTGAGGTTGGGCTGGCTAAAACCTCCAACACTCTATAATCACATGGTTGGTCTTTGTGGTGACCCTCCCTCAGCCTCAGTCATCTCATGTAAGTCTTAGCCCAGATTCAAGAGTGATCCAAAGGGGTAATAGAAAACACAATCCCAATACTTGGGAAATTCCAAAGATTTAGTCTTTCTCCTAAGAACTAAGGACAAAGGCCAGTAAAATGATGTATTATATAACAGATGTCCACGATGAAATAGTAAAAATTATTAATCTTACTCAATTTAAGCTTTTGAATACATCTTAATATTCTCTGTGATAAACAGAGAAACATGCATAAGCAGGGAAGCATATATAAACCACCTCTGTTTCATACCAAAGTACAATGGTTGTCTGAAGGAAAAGTGGAAAAGTGCTTGTAAAATAGTTACATTGCAAGCTGAACTACGCTTTTTCATGAAATACCATTTTTACTTGAAAGAATAACTGACAAACTAGTTATTGACATTTTCTTGAAAATAAATCAAGAAAAAATCACTTCAAGAAAAATTATAGTATTTGTTGCTGAGAAAATCTGAGCTTTCAAGTGAAAATTAGCATCTTTGAAAACTGTATCCACCACTGTCAGTCTGACAGCTTTCTAAAGTGCCAACATTTAAAATAAAATGTCAACATCCAGAAGTTCAGTGAATCGGTATTTTCCAAATCTATGTATTTTTTAATTGACTAAAGCACAATGTTACCAAATCATACAAAGGTAAAGATTCATTCACAGATCAATGAATCTTAATGTAATAAAGTATGAAAACTTCACTAGTTGGTTTCAGATTCCACACTGTTAAGAAACTTTAAGACATTGCCACTTATCAAGTTTTGGTGCTGTGTCAAAAACCCCACAACTATCCATAATTACCTAAAATAGTGCTCTCTTCTACAACCAAATGTCTATATGAGGGCAGATTTTCATTTTATACTTAAAACAAGATATAGCAACAGATTCAATGTAGAAATAGTTAGGAGAAGATACCATATACCTTGCTGTCTTCTATTATGTCAAACTTTAAAGAGATTTGCAGAAATGTAAAACAAGGCTGTTCACTAAATTCTGAAAGTAATTTTCATTAAAAATGGTATTTTGTCATATAATACATAATTAGTATTAAATACATACTTTAAAAAAACTTAAGCTTTAATTTCTAACATGATAATTAATCGATATACATTTAAAAACTTTGGGGTCCTCAAATATTTTTAAGAGTGAAACAGCCTAAAATGTTTGAGAACTGTCCTATGGAAATAATAAACAATGTAAACAAAGAAATTTAGTGTAGAGTTTCAACAGTAAAAAATGGGAAACCATAGGAGCACGGAGGTGGCTCAGTTGGTTAACCATCTGCCTTTGGTTCAAGTCATGATCTCAGGATCCTGGGATTGAGCCCCCATCAGGCTCCCTGCTCAGAGGGGAATCTGCTTTTCCCTTTCCCTCTGCTCCTCCCCCTTGCTTGTGCTCTCTCTCAAATGAATAAATAAAATCTTCAAAAAAAAAAGGAAAACCATACAAATGCTAAAAAAAAAAAAAAAAGTAGAGGAATGGGTATCTCAGAAAAAGTATTTTATAGGCACAGAAACTTCTATTTTTTTAAAGATTTATTTTTCTATTTTAGAGAGAGAGAGAGAAAGCTCATGTGTGAGCATGAGTGGGAGGGGCAGAGGAAGAGAGAATTCCAAGCAGACTCCGAGCTGATTGTGGATCCTGAGGCAGGGCTCGATCTAACAGCCCTGAGGATCACCACCTGAGCTGGCCCCGAGATCATGGCCTGGGAATAAACCAAGAGTCCAACACCTAAACAACTGTGTCACCCAGGTCTCCCACAGAAACTTCTATTTCTCAAATGACATATTAAAATTTAGATTAAGTAAACCAAAGAACACAAAACTATATATAATATGCTCTGAATTATATTTTTTAAAATCACAGAATTCAAGCAAAGAAACCAAAATTTTAACAGTAGTCCCTGCTAGTTAGTGGGATATGATGACAAATATCTTCTTATTTCTAACCATGATTTCTTACAAGTGCTCTGTAATCATCAGGTAGTATTCTCATAACCAGAGAAAAAGATTAATTTAAAAAAGGAAAAAAAAAATTCTGGCATTCCATTAAAGCAGTAAATGAGGTTCTTAGCTTTAGTTACTTTTTAGACATTCCCAAAATTGTAAGTTGGTCAACAGCTTAAAAAGCACTAAAGCGGCCAAAAAACAATACCAAAACAAATTTTAAAACTCTCAAACCCCCACACTAAATCATGACAAAGCTACCAAAAAGATACGCTAACTTTTCAAGAGCTTTCATCATTTAATTTTAGCAGAACAAGACCGTCCATGTAAGTTTTAAAAATATAGGGCTCTGACTTAAAAGGCAAGAAAGTTTCCCAACTTTTAAAATAAAGCAACTAATAAAATGCTGATTTAAAAACAAAAATCAGGGGCGCCTGGGTGGCTCAGTCATTAAGCGTCTGCCTTTGGCTCAGGTCATGATCCCAGGGTCCTGGGATCGAGCACCGCATCAGGCTCCCTGTTTGGCGGGAAGCCTGCTTCTCCCTCACCCACTCCCCCTGCTTGTGTTCCTGCTCTCACTATCTCTGTCAAATAAATAAATAAAATCTTTAAAAATAATAATAATAAATAAATAAATAAAAACAGAAATCAGAGATAAGAAGTCCAAAAATAAATACCTCACATGAAAAACTGAAATTTCAAGTTATCTAATTACAAATTAAATAAAATTCAATTATTACATATTACTTTGTTTCTTCAATTCACTGTCCATTTTTTTATTCTATGATTTTTACATTAAAATAAAAATACTAGTTAACAGGGTGGTGGTAGTGAAGTATGGAGGTTTTCAATTACAACACTTCGGATGTGTATCACATTGGGTAAAATAGATTTAATTTCTGAAAAATCAGGGACCAAGCAGACTGCAAGTAAAATATTCCATCTGAATATGGAAGTCAAGAGAAATAAAATATGTCATATACAGAAAGTAAATAAAATCACTTACTGCTTACCGGGACTATGGTGAGTTGCATATCCTCCATTCTGAAATTCAACTCCTGCCACATTCATTCTACCAGGATTAAAAGGTCCTACTGCAGTCTTGGTCTGTGAAGTCAAAGATGGGGTGTATGTTTGTATATTAACACCAAAATTACTTGACTGAAGTCCTTTAGCGACATCTCCCAAGTTGGTATTCTATAGTGATGTTATACGTGTAATCATTAAGTTCATATCTCGCCCAGCATTCACAGAGCTTATACCTGTTTCTTAGTAATAGGATGTAACATTAGTAATAGGAATTTCAGAGTCGATTCTGTAGTGATAACATTATTACCCATTCCTGCATTTACCTTACTTCTTGAAAGACTGGAAGTGGAGAAATCCAAATCTTTGGTTCTATTTTTAGTTCCAGGAAGTCCCCATTCAATAAAATTGGAAGAATTTTTCTTTTCCCCACCATTTGTTTCTATGTCCTCTTCATCATCGATAACAATTGTCTCACTTACATTTCCCTTCTCAGAAGCCAAATCTCTTGAGGAAGGAAGAATTATGGAATAATCTCCTTGTAGCCTTTCATTTCTTGATGAAGCAAATATAAAATTTCTTTGATCAGCTCCTGCTGGAGTAGGAGTTGAAGGAGGTTGTATAGATTCAATAAATACAACATCATCATCATCTTCTTCCATCGATGAATTTCTACATCTGTTATCTAAAGGACTAGTTGGGTTACCAAATGAATTTCCTATATCCAAGAGACTAGCTGCCATGGCTTTATGCTCTAATAAAACAGGAGTCTGTTCAGCCAAGTCTAATCCTCTCACTGAACATTTATCCATGCCAAAGAACCTGTAGGGGACAGAGAATAGTAAAAAAAAAAAAAAAAAAAAGTTCTAGTATGATTATTCAGTTTTATTGCAATGAAATAATGCAATGAAATGAAACTTTAATTTTTGTGATTTTTATCTTTTAGGGAAAAAATTGTTACTCATTTTGTTTTTTCTCTCCCATTAACCATTTAATGCTTACTTCAGAATTTGATGGAAATAAATCATCCAATTTGTGGTAGTCCTTAAAAAATTTACTCATTTTAAAGTACTCAATTTAACCCGCACATCCTTTACAATGATAAACAAAACAAAACCAAGTCTTCCTTTGAAACAGGAAATAGTAATAAAATAATTCTATCAAATACCAATATGGGTCCAAATATAATTACTATACTTTTATCTACCAAAATAACTACGATATCGTCTAATCCTTATTTCGCTAGTGTCTTTTGTCACTGATTTTCAAATTCTCTCCTTCTGACGTAACTGTGATTAAATCTTTCTGAATCTTTGTTTTTGTCCAGAAATTGCCAGACATTATACTATGGGTGTTTTATGCAAAATTCTGAAAACAGCCCCATAATGTATGTATAATTTAATCCACTTTACAAATCAGGAAAGAGAAGCCAATTAAATTGTTCTGGGTGAGACTGAATAGGACTTAAACTCCAGACTCTAATTCTAGGCCCCAAATTCTTAGCATTCAGTTATATTCAACAATTACTTTTGTGAACCTACTGTACGCTAGGATATGACAAAGAAAAGGATCCAGTAGAGAGACACAGTTGAGGAATCTGGAAAAGTAAATTTATTAGGGTGCCTGGGTGGCTCAGTCAGCTAAGCGTCTGCCTTCAGCTCAGGTCATGATCCCAGGGTCCTGGGATTGAGCCCCATGTAGGCTCTGCTCAGTGGGGAGCCTGCTTCTCCTTCTCCCTCCGCCTGCCACTCCCCCTCCCTGTCCTCAATCTTTCTCTGTCAAATAAATTAAAAAAATAAAATAAAAATCTTTAAAAAAAGTAAATTAATTAATGAAGCAAGGCTCTTAAAAGTAGATGAGGGAAGATGAGGATATGTGCACAGGTGGTAATGAAATGGATCATGGGTAAAAAAATCACCTCTATCTCAAAGGCAGGAGAGGAAAACGTAAGTATAAATGGAATGTATATTAAGTATGTAAAAATGATAGATGAAAAGCTGAAGTAAGTTTACATATGCTGGCCTCAATTTTCTTAGCCCCTAGTCGGGCTCCACCCTTACTCTGCTTGTCCCTCTCCCACTGCCCCTCCCCCCTGCACATGCGCGCTCTCTCTCTCTAATAATCTTTAAGATTTATTTATTTATTTATTTGAGAGAGAGAATGAGATAGAGAGAGAGCATGAGAGGGGGGAGGGTCCGAGGGAGAAGCAGACTGCCTACTGAGCAGGGAGCCTGATGCGGGACTGGATCCTGGGACTCTAGGATCATGACCTGAGCCGAAGGTAGTCACTTAACCAACTGAGCCACTCAGGCGCCCTGATAATAATCTTTAAATAAATAGTGTTTTGCCCTTTTGTGTTTACTTTTAGTGACATCTCAGTTGTTTTTATTTCCTGAAGGTTGAATTTTTTAAAAAATTGTGGCAAAATAGGGGTGCCTGGGTATCTCAGTCAGATAAGTGCTCTTTTTTTAAGATTTCATTCATCCATTTGAGAGAGAGAGAGCACAGAGGGATAAGTGAGAGGGAGAAGCAGACTCCCCACTGAGCAGAAAGCTAGATGTGGGGCTCAATCCCTGGACCCTGAGATCATGACCTTGGCCGAAGGCAGATGCTTAACCCACTGAGCCACCCAGGTGCCCCAAGTCCTGACTCTTGATTGTAGCTCAGGTCTTGATCTCAGGGTCATGGGTTCAAGTCCCATACTGGGCTCCATGCTGGGTGTGGAGCCTACTTAAAAAAAAAAATTGTGGCAAAACATATATACATAAAACTTGCCATTTTAACCATTTTTAAGTGTACATTCAGTATCAGTTTTTTGTTTTTTAGAAAAGATTTTATTTGAGGGAGAGCGAGCAAGCATGAGCAGGGGGTAGGGGCAGGAGAGGGAGCAGCAGACTCCCACCGAGCAGGGAATGTGCTTTTTTAAAAGTTATAAAAGCTTCTGGATAAATTCTTAACTTATTAAATAATTTAGTAGCCATTCAATATTCAATTATGTTTACACATACCATTACATAGAATTTACATAGTAAAAAGAATCTGTTAGATTTTTTTGAAAAGATTACTTGAGAGTGCGTATGCATATGTGCCCGCACACGTGTGTATCACGTGTACCGCCGAGGGGCAGAGGGAGAGAGAGAATCTCAAGCAGACTCTCTGCAGAGTGCTGAGTCCAAGTGGCAGGGAGGGGGAGCTTGATCTCAAGACACTGAGATCATGACGTGAGCCCAAACCAAGAGTCAGACGCTCAACCAATGAGCCATCCAGACACCCCAAAAACCTGTTCTTATAAAAAAAAAAAAGTAGCTCAAATAGAAATGTTGAGATATTGGGCGCCTGGGTGGCTCAGATGGTTAAGCATCTGCCCTCGGCTCAGGTCGTGATCTCAGGGTCTTGGGATTGAGCCCCGAGTTGGGCTCCCTGCTCAGTGGGGAGCCTGCTTCTCCCTCTGCCTCTCTCTCTCTCATGAATAAATAAACTCTTAAAAAAAAAAAAGAAATGTTGAGATATTAATATGTTAAGATTAGCACATGAGGAGAAGGGTAAACTTGCTTTATGGACCTTTAAAAATCAAAATCACCAGGAAAGTATTTAAAAATAATTATTGAGGTACCTGGCTAGCTCAGTTGCTAGAACGTGTGACTTGATCTCGGGGTTGTGAGTTTGAGCCCCACGTTGGGCAGAAATTACTTAAAAATAAAATCTTGGGGCACCTGGGTGGCTCAGCCGTTAAGCATCTGCCTTCGGCTCAGGTCATGATCCCAGGGTCCTGGGATTGAGCCCCACATCAGGCTCCCTGCTCGGCGGGAAGCCTGCTTCTCCCTCTCCCTCTCCCCCTGCTTGTGTTCCTGCTCTTGCTAACTCTTTCTCTGTCAAATAAATAAATAAAATCTTTAAAAAAATTAAAAAAATAAAATCTTAAGAAAAAAACATAATTAAAACACGTAATTAAACATCAAAATTAAAAAATTATTGTTTCAAAGGTTCATTTTTTGGCCACCTGTAACTGTAAGCTCTATAAAAGATAATCAAGATGTAGGTTACAAAAACCGCTGTTAATCACTAATTAGTCCTAAAACATGTCCTTTTGCATCTCTGCGGACTTAAACTGTCACAGACAGGTCTGTCTTATTATAAAAAATATTTATATATTCACATAAAAATAAACTCAACTCAAAAGCCAACTTCATATTTACTGAGTATCTGCTACAAACATTCCCATTTAAAATCAGAAATAAAATAAAGGTGTACCACAATTCCGGATGTATAAAAAATGTAACGAGATAGGAGAAAGAGGACTCAAATGAACAACTAGCACAAATAGCAAGAGAATTACTGAAGTTGCCCAAGTACAAACTTACTATCTAGAAATCAATAGCTTGGTAGGGATTAAGTTGATAGATCAATTACACACAACTAACTTCACTTCCTTCTAAAACAAAGGTAGAGTTCCTACTCTCAAGGAAAGGAAAAACAAGAAAGGAAGCAACAAAAAGAAACAAAGCAACAAAATTTTACAAGTGGAAGAGAGAATAGATGAGTAGTTTAACTACCTCAGCTGATCTGAGATAAACCAACTCTAAAAGAGTAATGGAAAAAACTCAGAGAAACATCCTGATTCTTGCTGCAGAATCTTCAAAAAGGCTCAGAAACCAGTAGCTCCAGAAATCCCTGGAATAGGGGAAGGGGGAGCTAAAATGAAGTTGTGAGATCCCAGATCCATTCTTTCCCTCCAGATGATGGGAGGGAAGATGACAGGTTTTTCCCTACCCTGGCACAAGTTCTAGACTTTTATTCTTTGAATAGAACATAAGACTTTTGTCTGGGGTTCACCAAGCATAGGTAAATGGTTCAATATCATGCGTGTGATTCCCACAAAGCTGGCATCTAGATCTCTATCTTCCAGGCATGTGACTCTTCCCTGAAGACTTTTCTCAGAAACACTCTTCTCTGTGGAATTAGGAACCAGCAAAGAAGGAAAGACCTTAAGATAATGACTCAAGAGATTACCCATCAATTGGTGAAAAGAATCATCCTACAGTGAAGCTCACAAATTGAAAGCCCCACACATTTTTCTAATCTGCTTTGTACTTCCAAACTCTTAATCACAAGTAGACCAGTCAAGAATTACTAAATATCTGAGGATAGCTTCTAATAAGAATAGTTAAAAGAAAAAAGGAAAAAACAGAAGTTGATAACGCAGCAAAAATAAAATGAAAAAACCCAAAATTATTAGTACTCTAGACGGGTGATGAGTAAAAGATCATAAAAATGTCTAGGTCAAGAGTAGCATGCTCTACCCAATGAGCCAGCCAGGCAGCCCAAGACAGAAATTTGAACGCCATTCTGGCTGGCACTAAAACCTAGTTTTTTGTACTACATCATGCTGCAAATAGCTCAGAATACTCTAAGAAAAATGGCTTTTCTAAGTGATAATAACAGAGTCAGTGACTTGTTACCATGCCAGTCTTAGTCCCCACTAGTTCCCTTTCTCTATGAATGCCCAACATAGCTCTAGAACCATACCTACATCCCATCATCTCACAAAACTCCATAGAATGTGAAATATCACTTCAGGGATCCTACGAAAATTACCTAATTGAAACAATATCCATTCCTAAAAGCCAGACATAGCAATCTACATCGTGACACCATAGTGTCCTAGATCTAACTAACTAAAAAGTTGTACTGTGAAGAATAACAGAGTTAAGTGCAAAGCCAAGTTTGGTAAGGAACAAGGCCAAAGGGAAGGCAGGAATACTACAACGTGAGTTATTCTAATGTTGTTTCTTTTCAATAACCAACTGTAAAC